AGGTTGTCTCGTATCCTCCGACTGGGTGTTTTGGTCAAGGACCGCTCTTGGCGGTCCCATGCGATGGTCAGAAATGAAGGGCAGGTGGGAAGGCACTATTGGTACGTCCACTTCAAATTGTCACTGGAGGTTACTGGACAGAAAGACATCTCCTTGATGAGTTTTTAGACAGGAGTGGGAGTGATGTGGGTTGTCCCATGGTGGTTAGTGGGTCCCCCAGAATTAGCACCACACCGAGCTCTGGTACACGACACAGAGGCCACGTAGGCGATGAGCATCCTCCTGAGGTGCACGCCCAGGGCTTCTCTTACACAAGGTCTGACAAAGAAAGCATCAAACCAGATGGCCGCTTTCTACTCCGCATTCAGGGTTTTTTCTTTGATCTCTAGGCCAAAGCAAAATTGGAGCAAATCCTTACTGGTTAGGAGTGAAGTTATTTCATATATTTTTAAAATTTAATATTTTTTCTTACTGTCCACACACTGTCTGGAATATGCAGGCTTCAAGTCTTCTCTTTCACCTCAGAAACAGAGGACTAACTTTCCTGAGTTATCCTTTTTCCTTCAGATGATTCTACCGCCATCAGCAAGCTGTTTGCTGCGTGAATACGATATGTTATTGGTACCTTTTTTTAAAATTAGGTGAAGGCTACTCTTTAAGGTTGAAAATCAGCTCAGAGGAGAAGTTGGTGGTGTGTTCCACAAGAGTTAGTGGTTTTATTTTTGTCCCCTTTATCATCAGAAGTGTAGAAAGCTATACAATAATTGGGATGCAGAGGAAAACCTTAAATTCTGCTTTGTTTCTGTGGGAGTCTGCCTCTTGGCTTGGCTGCGTATTAGAAGTTTGTGGATGAACTTTCAGGTGTCCAGTTATATCACAGGAGCACCAAAATATTCCTTTTTAAAGCTTTTATTTAAACATGGAAATGCATGTGGATTCTCATTGCCAGTAATTTGAAATGTAGCAGGAGACACGAGGAAGAACTGAAGTCAAACTGCCTGATAATAGTTATTTCTCTCACGCTCATCTGTACTGAAGACGTGATGAAATAATCCTTTTTTACAGGGAACTGTGGTTACCCCCAGTCAAGGAATAAACTTAGGAACGTGAGCTGCCTTGTGTGTGAAGAGGACTGAATGCTGTGTAGTTTCAAAGGCGTTATTTGAAGGGAATAAAGGGCTTGCCAAAAACGTTTTCTGTTCTTCACACTGTTACGTAGCTCCGTGGGCTGTAAAGAAAAATCCGTTACTCCAAAAAAGCTGGAAGCCCGTCCCGGGGCGGTGGCTTCTGTGGGCGCACGGGTCTGTGTTGGGCAGTTCGGTGCGGTGGGGCTTGGACACCGTCGGTAGTAGCTGCACGGCGTGTTTGCCTTTTGCACAGCCTTCGTTTCAGTTTGCTGGGTGCCCGGGACACGGGCTTTCTGGAGAGAGCCACAGGCGTGAAAACGGAGCGGAAGGACTGTTAATGCCTTTACTGTGTCTTCCGTCTCTATGGGATTGGTAGAATAATTAAAACAATGGGAGGAACCTGTGTTTGAAGCTGCTCGGCACTGCCTCCTTGGTCTGAACGTCAGCATAGCTTTCCAAGAACCTAGAAGAGAAAACCACGAACCTTCAGCAGCGTAGAATAACATTGGGTTTTCAGCAAACTGGAAGAAGGTGATAAAAAAGACGTATTGGCATCCTGGCCCTGCTCATGTTGGCAGCCAGCTCTGCCTCTGTCCTGTGAGTCAGTTTTGTTTCGGTGCTAGTTGGACAGAAGCAAACCAGTAATGCTGATATTGCAACCGTTGAAATGTGGCCGGAAGGAAAAGAATCTAAATCCTGCATTTTTTGAATGGGCAGTGGTAGTTGCAGTGAGCTTTCACAGCAGAATTTACCCGCTTTCAGCTGCTCTATTGGAAAAACATAGATATCTGTAATGTTTCTAAGTCAAACGCAACTCCTAGCCGTGCGCTTCCGCAGCGCCGCAGATACGAATCTTGCTCAAGTGACACTTTAGAGCTTGCTTGGCGAAGGGTGAGAACAAGGCTGAGAATTAAAACCAGTCCAAAGAACAGCTTTTTGTTGTTGTTTTGGTGAATGACCATAGCCTTTGTCCAGTGGGCTTTGCTTCATTTTTGTGCATGACTTAGTGTATGTTCTTCTTTGTGTCTGTATTATTCTTTTTTTTTTCTAATTGAGTATGTGTCATTATTTTGGACCAGGAGGAATCGCTGTCGGCAAGGGAAGGGCAGGCAGCAGAAGGAGGTGAAGCAGGAGCAAAAGGTGGCTCTTGCCTGGCTGGGACCTGTACAAGCCCTCGGACGGAGGTTTATTTAGTTTTAGTGCAGGAGAGTTTGGCGAGCGCAGGGGAAGAGGCAGAGATGCTGCCGTAGGTGTTTGTTCGGTGGGTACAGCGCTGCTCTCGAGGATGCTGGTTGAGATGCAGAGAGAAAGGTGAGGGGGGGAATTTCACTTTGTTTCCCATA